GCAAATAAATTAGTATCGTTAGAGTCGTCAAAATATCCTCTTTTCGAAAAGTGCTTGTCAAATAATACTCACCATTAGGAAAATAATAGTTAGACACGAAAATGTAATTTTGACAACTTGTCTCATTCATAGCTATCATACTTGTCACTAAAACTTCGCGATTGTAATTTTCTGATATCACCTAAGGTCCTTAGATTAGTTTACTTCCGATCATGGCCACCTAGATGTAATTTCAAAAGTGACTCCGAACAAATTAAGTAGGCATACAAACTTTCGAAAATGTCATATTTTGATCTAGAATTGTCTCAGAATTCCAAAAATGTTACAATATACAGGGTGTTCCATTCAAAAATCTAAAACCGGAGCCATTTCCGGTGAAACCGGAAGTGACCGGAAAGTGAAAAATATGTGAAAACTCTCCTCTTCACATACCATTTACCAATACCAAATCTCATTTTGATACACCTTATGGTCTAGAAGCTATGACTTGTCTAATAGATTCGTTGACACCCGGTAGTTTTTTTCAATATGAACCTAGATTATTTATCAAAGTATTTGTTCTAACTGACTAGAGGACAAAAATGTCAGATATGTATTCAAAAGGACACTACATTTTTGTCTAGGGATGCCCTGAATCAGACTTTTGACCGAATATTTGGACTACAAAAATGCAAATGAGAAAAAATTGGTATTCTGAAAAACGTCCTACAAAACTTCAATGACCAAAATCAACCTTTGGTATGTTATGCTGTAAAAAATTGAAAGTAAGAAACTTGAAAGAAAGGTTTAATTTAAACGCTTCAAAAAGAAGAAAATTGAATTTTTTCTTCAAATTTAAACTATCAACTTATAACCTCATTATACACAATTTATATGATCATAAACGCTTGTCACAATGATTAAAATTTAGATTAAATTTATATTTAAAAAATTCAAACCAACCGTTTTTTACAAAATCAAATTAGTACTAGTTCATTTACACAAGTAAATCACGCGACAAG